GAAGCGATATAAAATGCCACTGTGTACCGCTTGTAAAAAGTCACTCCATTAGCATAAAATTCTGCTACCTGAATGGTTCAATTCATTTGAATTGGTGTGTCATATTGTATCGTAAGACATTATATGGGTCTTGAAAATCAGAAATCAGTGCTCGAAACGTTTAAGCAAACTGATGCGATTCACTTCATTTGTTCATTGCCATATCTGTCGATGAAAGACGACTGCAGAAATATATCTATAAATAATTGGCTGAAGCGAAATGATGATAATTTTAAAATTATAGCTTATCTACATGATGGTGCATTAGTAAGCGATGTGAAGCTGCTTGCGAAAGAGTACTCAAGAACGTAAGGCGAATTTGATGCAGTTCATTCAATGAAGTACAAAATGGAAACTGAAAAATTCAAACGAATCCGTCAAATTCAGCAAACTTCCGATGGCGCTTCAACATTCAGCCGTTAAGATCACAATAAAGAAAACAATGATCAAATATTAGCGCTCAATTTTAGATTTGTCTAGATTCTGCATGAATTGTTCAAATTCTGCTTGAATTGTTGACAAAATAACGTCTTGTTGGCTATTGCCGGAGTAAAATTATGAGTGTGGCTTGATAGTGAATGTGAGAACTGATGTTTCAGTAGCTCAAAAGTTTAGGATATTCTTCTGGTTGGATGTACTATGCTTATTTCCACTGGATTTTCTGCTCTTCATACGCCGTGATTTGTCACTGGTGCGTAGTAATCGTCTTTTGAAATCGTATCGCTTGAAGCAAGTCATTGAGCGAACTCAAATGCGAACAAACTGGCCAAACGGTTTCAAAGTCTTCGTGCTGATCACAACTTGCGTCGTAATGTTTCACTGGAACGCATGTGCGTACTATCTGATTAGTGTTATGGCCGGAACTGACGGTAAGTTCAGAGAATAATACACCATTGATTCAGTTATTCATGACTTCAATATCACATTACAGCCGCCTACCTGATATTTTTGTTCTTAAGCATATGAACATGTTAACAAAAGCGCTCTATATGATATTCCATTAAAACAAACGAGAGCATGCTATCAATTGAAGCACTGAAACAGCACTGAACGAGTGAAGTTTAAGAAATATGGAGGTGAAGAACCCGATTTTCTAGTCGAATCATGACAGATTCACTAGACTCGTTCCATTGATAACTCTCTGTGACAATGTGAAAAATATTCTAGATGAAGATACATCAGTGTGGCAGTTTACTTATACAAAAATTGCAAACTTAGTCCTGCCAACGTGTGAAATTCTACTCTCTGAGGATGCGGATGAGGATTGTTGGTTCAATGAAACTGGTAAAGATGTCGATAATCGAATGGATTATGTCACTGAAATGATGGATTATTGGCATGACAAGTCAGTCACACTTAGCTGTCACT